ACACATGGAAGCTAAATAGCATGTTATTAAACAATGAATGGGTTACCGAGGAGATCAAGGAAGAAATTAAAAACTTCCTGGAAACCAATGAAAATGAACACACAACAACACAAAATCTATGGGATCCAGCAAAAGCAGTTCTCAGAGGAAAGTTCATAGCCCTACAGGCCTACCTCAAAAAACGAGAAAAATCTCTAATAGACTATCTAACCTCACAACTTAAAAAACTAGAGAGCAAACAAAAAGAAAACCCCAGAGCAAGTAGAAGGAAGGAAATAGTAAAGATCAGAGCAGAAATAAACGACATAGAGTCCAAAAAAACAATTCAAAGGATCAATGAAACAAAGAGCTGGTTTTTCAAAAAGATTAACAAGATTGATGGACCCTTAGCTAGACTCACCAAGAAACAAAGAGAGAGAACCCAAATACACAAAATCAGAAATGAAAAAGGAGAAGTAACAACTGACACCACAGAAATATAAAGGATTGTTAACAACTACTATGAACAATTATATGGCAACAAGTTCGACAATCTAAGCGAAATGGACAAATTTCTAGAAACACAGTCTCCAAAAACTGGGCCAAGAAGAGATAGAAAACTTGAACAGACCAATAACAACTAAGGAAATTGAAGATGTAATCTTCAAGACAATCTTGGCAAACAAAAGCCCAGGCCCAGATGGCTTCACAAGGGAGTTTTACCGAACATTCAAAGAAGAATTAACACCCATTCTCCTTAAACTATTTCAAAAAATAAAAGAAGAAGGAAGACTTCCAAACTCGTTTTATGAGGCCAGCATAATTCTAATTCCAAAACCAGAAAAAGACACTACAAAGAAAGAAAACTACAAGCCAATATCCCTGATAAACATAGACGCCAAAATCCTGAACAAAATACTAGCAAATCGGATCCAGCAATACACCAAAAAAAATTATCCACCATGACTAAGTGGTATTCATCCCAGGGATGCAAGGTTGGTATAATATTCACAAATCAATAAACGTGATACACCACATAAATAAAATGAAGAATAAAAACCACATGATCATATCAATAGATGCCGAAAAAACATTCGACAAAATCCAGCATCCATTTCTGATAAAAACGCTCAGCAATGTGGGAATAGAGGGATCATATCTCAACATAATAAAGGCCATATATGAAAGACCTACAGCCAACATCATACTCAATGGGCAAAAACTAAAAGCATTTTCCTTAAGAACAGGAAAAAGGCAAGGATGCCCACTTTCGCAACTCTTATTTAACACAGTATTGGAAGTCTTAGCCACAGCAATCAGACAGGAATAAAAAATAAAAGGGGCCGGTTTGGCTCAGAGGTTGGAGCATTGGCCTGAGGTCTGGAGAGACCCGGGTTCGGTTCCCGCTAAGGGCATGTACCTCGGTTGCGGTTTATCCCCAGCCCTGGTTGGGTCGTGCGGGTGGCAACCACTCGATGTGTCCCTTTCACGTCGATGTTTCTCTCTCTCTCTCCCCCTCCCACTCTATCTGAATAAAATATCAAAAAATGTCCTCGGGTGAAGATAAAAAATAAATAAATAAATAAATAAAAATAAAAGGGATCCAAATTGGAAAGGAGGAAGTGAAACCGTCATTATTTGCAGATGACATGATACTATACGTAGAAAACCCCAAAGACTCCATCAAAAATGTACTAGACTTAATAAATGAATTTGGAAAAGTAGCAGGATACAAAATTAACGTCAAGAAATCGACGGCATTCTTATACACCAATGATGAACTCACAGAAAGAGAAACTAAGAAAACAATCCCATTTACAATTGTGGCAAAAAAATTAAAATACTTAGGAATAAACTTAACCAAAGAAATAAAGGACCTATTCACCGAAAAGTACAGGTCATTGAAAAAACAAATAGAGGAAGTTATAAAAAAGTGGAAGCACATGCCCTGTTCATGGATGAGAAGAATTAACATCATTAAAATGTCCATATTACCCAAAGCAATCTATAGATTCAATGCAATCCCCATCAAAATACCAACGGCATACTTCACAGAATTAGAACAAGTACTTCAAAACTTCATATGGAACCAGAAAAGACCTCGAATAGCCACAGCAATCTTGAAAAAAAAGAACAAAGTTGGAGGGATCACATTACCAGATTTCAGGTTATACTCCAAAGCCACTGTAATCAAAACAGCCTGGTACTGGCACAAGAACAAGCATATAGACCAGTGGAACAGAACAGAGAACCCAGAAATGAACCCAAAGCAACATGCTCAGTTAATATTTGACAAAGGTGGCGTGGAGTAAAGACAGCCTCTTTAATAAATGGTGTTGGGAAAATTGGACAGCTACATGCAAAAAAATGAAACTAGACCATCAACTTACACCCTACACAAGAATAATCTCAAAATGGATAAAAGACTTAAATGTGACTCATGAATCCATAAACATCCTAGAAGAAACTGTAGGCAACAAAATTTCAGACATTATACGCAGCAGAATTTTCACTGATACATCACCTAAGGCAATAGAAACAAAGGAGAAAATGAACATATGGGACTACATCAAACTCAAAAGCTTCTGCACAGCGGAAGGTACAATCATCAAAACAGAAAGGCTACCACTGTATGGGAGAGCATAATTGCCAATGATATATCAGATAAGGGGTTAATTTCCAATACATATAGAGTGCTCATACAACTCCACAAATGGAAGACAAAGAACCCAATTAAAAAATGGGCAGAGGAACTAAATAGACACCTCTCCAAACAGGACATACAAATGGCTAAGAGACATATGAAGAAATGTTCAACATCACTAATCATCAGAGAGATGCAAATTAAAACAACAATGAGGTACCACCTCACACCTGTCAGAATGGCTGCCATCAACAAATCATCAAACAACAAGTGTTGGCGAGGGTGTGGAGAAAAGGGGACTCTAGTACACTGCTGGTGGGAATGCAGACTAGTGCAGCCACTATGGAAAACAGTATGGTGTTACCTCAAAAATTAAAAATTGAACTGCCATTTGACCCAGTGATCCTGCTTCTAGGAATATACCCGAAGAAGCCTGAAACACCAATCAGAAAGAATATATGTACCCCCATGTTTGTAGCAGCACTATTTACAATAGCTAAGATCTGGAAACAGCCCAAGTGTCCATCAGTAGACGAATGAATAAAAAAGCAGTGGTACATATACACAATGGAGTACTACGCAGCTGTAAGAAGGAAAGATCTCTTTTCCTTTGAGACTACATGGAGGGACCTGGAAAGTATCATCCTAAGTGAAACAAGCCAAACAGAGAAAGACAAGTATCATATGATCTCACTTATTTGTGGAATATAATGAACATAACAGTCTGAGGAATGGGGTAGTCCCAGAGACGTGAAGTGGGGTACAGACTGACAATCCCCAGAAGAGGGGGTGCCAGAGGAGAGATAAAGCACAGAACTTATATGCATGTGTGCATGAAAATAGACATGAACAACAAAGCTGGGGACAGGGCAGGGAGGGAGGGGGAGGGGGGAATAAGTGGGGGGAAGGAGAAACATTTGTAACAAAATTTAATTAATAAAAAATAAAATAAAATAAATTCTGAAAATAATGGAGGAAATTGGCAAATTCTGTCCTTGGGTATGGTACCTCTTCCTTTGACACCTCTTATCAGTTTTAGTGAATTCTTTAAATTAATTAATTAACTAATTAGGTAGTTAGTTTTTATTGAGACATAACTGACATATCACATTGTGTGAGTTTAAGGTGTACAATGTGTTGATTTGCAACACTATGATAACCACCGTAGTGTGAGCTAACATCTCTATCACTTCACATAATTATCTTTATTATGCGTATGTGCGGTGGTGAACTGGGCTATTTTATTTTATTATTTATTTATTTATTTATCCTTACCCGAACACATTTTTCCAGTTTTTATTCAGATAGAGTGGGAGGGAGGAAGAGGGAGAAACATCGACGTGAAAGGGACACATCGAGTGGCTGCCACCCACACGACCCAACCAGGGCCGGGGACAAACTGCAACCGAGGTACATGCCCTTAGCAGGAACCGAATCCGGGTCTCTCTGGACCACAGGCCGATGCTCTAACCGCTGAGCCAAACCAGCCAGGGCCTTCTCAGCAACTTTGAAGTTTTTAATACAGTATTGTCTATAAACATAATGCTAAGGGAAGTTAGCAGTTTACTTACTGTTTTCAAAACCCCATGTGTAATATATACCAGTTATACAAAATTTAGACATTTAATCTGTACATAGAGAGATGTCTAGAAGGATGTTCATCAAAATGTTAAGAGTGGTTTCCACTGGATAGAGGGTTTTGAGAAATTTTAAAAAGAAATATGTACTTTTCTATGTGTTATAGAATTAAAAAAAAAAAAGTATATCATGTTTATGAAGACATTAAAACTATTCCCAAAGAGAGGAAACATTAAAATTAACCTCAGAGCAGATTCTTACAATTTTATTTTTTAACCAAGGGAAGACTGTGATAAGATACTCAATTTGGAAGATAATCTCTAGATTACTATATTGGAAAGTGTTTTTCACATTGTGTTCCTGATTTATCTCCATCAGAACAAACTATAATGCTTGTTAAACATACACAGTTCCAAGTCCCCATCCCAACTACTAACTCCCCTACCCCAACCAAACACAATAAAAATTAACATCTCTGGTGGTGGGTCCCCTACATGGTTCCCCAGCACTCCTGGTGAACTGTATATACACTTAAGTCTAAGAACCACTGCTTAGGGGAAGAATAAAAGGCAGGATTAGGAGGTTCGCCTGTGTCATTCATATGTACATTTATATACATTCTCTCTCTCTCTCTGTCTCTACACTTGTTTTCCCACAATCTTCAGAAGCTGAAACTGAGATGAGCTAAAGGCATTGAATATCAGGTGTTTTAAGGATTAATATACTTAAGCAAACTCACAGAATGGCTCATATTCATGCAATCACCAACCCCTTTATCTCCATTTCTGTTTCAATTTACCTGGTACTTGGGTTTTTGATGAAGCCAGTGTTTATAAAGTTAGGGCAGAGACATGATGTTTTGACTCCGGTTCTTCCCAAGGCTGCCAGTTCTTCAGTCAGAGCTCTGTGAAACCCAACAGCAGCAAACTTGCTGGAACTGAAAACACACAGAGAAAGGTCACAAAATAACTCAAGAAAGTTGCTTCATCTATTGAACTCCGATGACCGTTTGCCTTAGTTATGTGTGGTCCTTGCCAAGAAGCGTGGGCAGCACCGGGCTCTCAAAGCCCAACCCAGAACTACTGAATCAGAACCTGCACCCGAGAAGATCCTCAGGTAACGAGAAGATCCTTGGGTAACGTTAGAGGCACATTCAAGTCGAAGAGGCACTGACGGAACATTTACTGCATCCCAGCATCATTCATCTGAGTGACAGCTGAATAGGTTTCAATGTCTTGTTAGGGAAATTGGCAGGGTGTTTGTTTCGTTGTTGCTGTTTCCATAAAATTTAATGACACTGAAGACTGCTCGTTATTTACTTTAATATGTTCACGGAATTCACTGGAAACTCCTGCATAAGGCCTGTTCTTCTTTAAGGTCTCAGCTTGACTTCCTCAAAGAGGCCTTTTCTAACCCCTGGTCTAAATTGTTTCCCCATTATATAGTAATCTTTGGTTTTACATGACAGCACATTTGCAAAGAGAAGGAAAATAAATCCTATTTTAAGTGGACATTACACTTCCAGTTGGTGTTTAAAAAACAACTTTATTGAGCTATACATGCACCTACCACATAACTGACCCATTTAAAGTGTACTATTAAGTGATGTTTAGAATATAACATTAATATTTTTAAATTATGTGAACATACATATAACAAAATTTAACCATTTGAAGTGTGCAATTGAGTGGCATTACCAGATAGATTATTCTATAAATCTGTATGGATTAGCCATTCTACAAAGTAGCAATAAATTCTTATCAATTAACCTGTGCTTTGGAAAATATAAAGCTGTGGAAAGGAAAGTTCTCTTTCTTCTTTAAAAACTTTTTTTTAATTTTATTTTTTATTGATTTTAGAGAAGGGAGAGAGAGAAACAATGGTGTAAGAGAGAAACATCGATCGGTTGCCACCCACAAGCCCACTGACCAGGGATCGAATCAGCAACCTGGGTATGTGCCCTGACTGGGAATCGAAGCCGCCACCTTTTGGTGTATAGGATGACCCTCCAACAACTGAGCCATATTGGCCGGGCAGCTTTTTTTTTTAAGCTTAGACATACATATATTGAAGGCTTAAAAAGAAAGATTGCTAGATTCAATTATATAAAATGTAAATCTTCTGTACCTTGAAAAATAAACAAAACTAATTATGCATAAGATTACTACATGCCAGACAGTGTTCTCAGTTATTCAGATGCATTATTTCATTTAATCCTCATAACTCCATGAAATATACTATAATGATCCCCATTTACCAAAAAAGGAAACTGAGGCACAGAGGGGTTTATAGAACTTGCCCAAAGACACAAACAGAATGGTAGAATCAGGCTTTAAATCTGGGCAATAAACCAGCCTCTATTGGCTCCCAACCAAGTTAAGAGGTAAATAAACTGGTAAAGCATTTGCAACATGTAAGACAAGGTTAAGAGTTAATATATGGCAACTTTCATAAATGAATGAGACAATTTTCTAATGGATAAATGGCTAAAGAACATTAGCAGAAAATGCACAAAACACCAATAGATATATGCATATTAAAATATTTCATTTTAGGAGCAATTAATATAAATTACAAAGTAAAACAAGAGAGAATTTTTTGCCTAGCAGTAATGGCAAGGATATGAGAACATTTTTATTTGAGTTGGTTTTCAACATACAGAATATTTTTTATTTTATATAATTGTACTAGCAACCTTTTCTTTTCAAGCCTTAAAAAGAAAAACTGAGAGAGAACTTTCCGAAGCTTTCTATTTTCTAAAACAGCCTTTTTTTGGAAGGCAATTTGGCAAAAGGTATCAAATTCATTAAAATATGCCACGCTCTTAAATCCAGTTGCAGATTCGTTCCCTGGCCCTGGTAGGGGGGCATGTGTGGAGGCAACCAATCCATGTGTCTCTCTCACATTGATGTTTCTCTCTCTCTCTCCTGCTCCCTCTCCCCACTTCCCCTTTCTCCCTCTCACTGTCTCTAAAAATCAATGGAAAAACTGTCCTTTGGGGGAAGATTAAAAAAAAAAAGATGTACCACATATATACTTATTAACACGTAAAATGTTCACTTTAAATGAAAAAAAAAAGCAAAATTACGTAAGTAGAATTTGTTTCAATGCATGACTATAAATCTTCATTTAAATTGTCCTAAAAATTATAACAAATGCTTACCAAGGTTATTTCTGCATGGTGTGATTATCAATAAGTTTTCTTTTCTTTTACTAAAGTGTATCTTCTGATTGTTCTTAAGTGAACCAAAAATGCAGTAATATATTTAAACTCAGATTTAATGATCTTGAGTGTGTTAAGAAAAATTTATATTTTTGAACTTCCGAGTGAATCTGATTTAAGACATATATATATAAAAGCTAAAAGTAAGTGGGGTTTTTCTCCTGCACTTTGTAACAGTATATCAAGTTTCTTATTCTTAATAATCTGAATTAATATTTCTTATTCCGAATTATTCTTTTAAATAACGTTTCATTACAAGCTAATGATCAGGACTCAATTTTGCCATGTCTTCCCATAACGCTAACTTTCATGCTTATAAATTGGCTATTTGCACTGACAAGCTATATTAGCCATAGTCTTGTGGCACTAACTTGTTTTCTTTTTAAAATCAAGATACTTTTGGACAAAACACTTAGCAAGCAGAGAAAGAACAGAAACAAAAGATTAATCTCTCTCACCAAGAATTCAGTTCTTTCATCTTGCATTTTTCACATTAATCACTAAAACTGTTCAACTATAAATGCAAAAGAAATTGACATTTTTTTCTAATATAGGTGATTAGAGCTGTAATAGATGCTTTTGCTAAGGCTGCAGCAACTCAGGACAATGATAGCTGAGGGCTGGATTACAGGGACCTAATTCTAGGTCCCCTCTTATTTTTTTCTAACAAATAGGAGCCAGAACATATATGATTAATTCCATTAGGGCAAAGCATTTTGGAAGATAAAATGAGAGGTACTCTCCTGCTATTGAATACTTGCAGGATTCCAGACTCTATGCTAAGTGCATTACATTATATAATTTAAATTTTACAGCATCCTGATGAGTTAGTTAGTTGCTATTGTTAGCATTATGTTGTGGAGGAGGAAAATCATGCACAGAGAAGTTGAGTAACTTGCCAAAGGTCACATAAACTTAGTAAGTGATTAAGATTCAGAACATCATTATTCATAGTGATAATCTCCTGTAAGCAACTCAAATGTTCTTTAGCATTGCTATCATAACAAATTATTTAGTCACATGATGCAATACTATATGGGCATGAAAATGATTAAATGACAAGTTACCAACAACAATATAGATAAATCATACAAATGTAGTATGATTCCATGTATATAAAGATCAAAAATAGGCAAAATTAATCAATGGTATTGCAAGTCAATTGAGGAGTTACCTTGGGAAGGAAAGAGGGATTGGAGATTGGGAAGAGCTCTAAAAGGAGTTTCTGGGGTCCTGTAAAGTTCTGTTCTTGACCTGCATGGTGGTTAAATAGATGTGTCCCCTTTGCAGAAACTCACTGAGCTGTACACTCATGATTTCTGCATTTTTATAAATGTATGTTACACTTCAATAAAAAGCAGCATCTAGTTTAATCGCCCAATTAATTATTAACAACAGAAAAGCTGGGTGAAGTCTTCAGTGCGTCTCCGTGAAAGTTCTGCCATTGATCAGATACTGAGCAAAACCCAGAGAGTCAACTGATTTTAAGATAACTGGTCATCCAGCTGGTGTGGCTCAGTGGATTGAACATCGTCCCATGGACTGAGATGTCCTGGTTCGATTCCCAGTTAGGGCACATGTCCAGGCTGTGGGCTCGATTCCCAATGGGGGGGGAGGGTGCAAGAGGCAGCCGATCGATGTTTCTCTCTCACATCAATGTTTCTATCTCTCTCTCTAAAATATATATATATATTTAAATATTTAAAACAGGAATTCTTCAATCACAAGCAAACCACAGATTTGTCCCAAGGCTGGAAGTACACAAACCACCTGTGTAGCTGCAACCCTGCCCTTTAGTCCAAATGGTGCCTTTGTGTTCATTAGAAAAGCTCACTCCTCTTCTCAAGCTAATGTACTGCCTATATATTTGTAAAATCACTCAAGCCTAAAAGGACCTAAATGTAAAGATGCCCCGAGAGCTGTGTGGTCACAATCTGCACAACCACGTTGCCTCTGCTTCGACAGTACCCGATGAGAACCTGGCCATCTGTTGAGACTTCCGGTCAAGATGGCGGCATAGGTCAGCGCGGTACCGCCTCCTCCCACAACCACATCAAAGTTACAACTAAACTACAGCACAACCATCATTCAGAACTGTCTAAAATGGAGCTGAATGGAAGTCCTACAACTACTAAATTAAAGAAGCAGACACATGGAGACTGGTAGGAGGGTGGAGGCGGATGGGCTGGTCCCACACCCACCTGTGGCAGATAAAAATCAGGAGGACACCTCGGCTGGGAAGGTCCTCCCTGAGGACTGAGGGGTCCCTCTCCTACAGCAGTCACCCAGCTCAGGGTCCCAGTGCCAGGAAGAGAAGTCCCCATAACTTCTGGCTGGAAAAACCAGCAGGCACTGAGGCTGAGGGAGGCTGAGGTGGCTGGAGCCCCAGGCAGCTCCTCTTAAAGGGCCCCCTCTCCCATGGACTTAGACTTGCTCCCTCTGAGTCCAGAGGGGAGGCAGCTTGACAGGCACCAAAGGTATGCAGGGAGTAATTGAGGTGTTTGGCCATGGGACAAGGGCTGGAGAGGCAGCTTTCTCTGTGCTGGCAGAGGCCTATGTTCCTTTGGTGAGCCCTTCCCCCACAGGGCAGGCAGCTGGCAGCCACATCTGGGACTCCTGCAACTGTTACACTGTTTGCCCCTCCCCGGTGATTTCCTGAGACCCCACCCCACCCAACTTTTGAGCCCACCCAAGCTGTTTCCAAAGGCTTTCCCATAGGATTGGCTTGTCTTGGATCCTGCATCCGAGTTTCCTAAAATCTCTCAAACAAGCAGTATGGTCTCAGCAAGCCCCATACTTCTCGTTAAGTGGCCTCAGGCCTGGCACTAGAAGCAGCAGGCCTTGGTTCACAACTTGGCTTTTTCTGGGCACCTCCAAGCCCAGCACAAGAAGCAGCCATCTGCAGATCACTTTGTAGCTTATGCCTGGTGGCCTCAGGTATAACACAGGCAGAGGCTGACCTTGCCCCAGAGCCAGCATACCCAGCGGACAGCTTCAGACCACATCGAAGCACCACCACACAACCACCTCCACAAGTGACACACTCAATGAGTGGACTCAGTGGGTACCAGAGCCCTGCTGAAGTAAGTCTTGCTGTGTGTTGGGCCCCTACACAGCTGATCCTCCAAGGGAGTCAGAGGCCAGTGGTCAGTGGGCACAGCCAGTTCTTGCAGCTGATCAGCCTGAGTAAATCCCTCCCATTGACATGCTAACAACAATCAAGACTCAATTACAACAGAAGGGTGTACAGTCCACACAAGGGGTGCATCTCAAGGGCACAGCTGGGTGATTAGGGTAACTGCCACTGGACCCTACAAGACACCTGCAATAATAGGCCACCCTATGAAGCCTAGAAGACATAGAAACAATCACAGGGAAGCAGCCAAAATGAGGAGACAAAGAAACATGTCCCAAATGAAAGAAAAGAACAAAACTCTAGGAAAAAAATTAAACAAAATGGAGATAAGCAATCAATCAGATGCAGAGTTCAAAACACTGGTTACACAAGGAAAGTAATGAGACATTCAAGGAACTTAGTGAGACCTTCTAGGAACTTAAGGAGATCTCCAAGGAACTTAGTGAGAACATAAACAACATAAAAAAGGACCGATCAGAAATGAAGGATGCACTAACTGAAATAAAGAATAATTTACAGGAAATCAATCGTAGTGTAGGTAAAGTCGAGAAGCAAACCATCAATTTGGAATATAAGGAAGCAAAAAACACCTAATCAGAACAGCAAAAAGAAATAAGAATCCAAAAAAATGAGGATAGTGTAAGGAGCCTCTGGCACAACTTCAAGCGTGCCCACATTCACATCATAGGGGTGCCAGAAGAAGAAAGAGAACAAGAAACTGAAAACCTATTTGAAAAAATAATGACAGAAAATTTCCCTAACTTGGTGAAGGAAACAGACATACAAGTCCAGGAAGCACAGACAGTCCCAAACAAGATGAACCCAAAGAGGCCCACACCAAGACACATCATCTTCAAAATAACAAAGGTTAAAGACAAAGAAAGAATCTTAAAAGCAGCAAGAGAAAAGCAGTTCATTACCTAAAATAAAGCTCCCATAAGACTGTCAGCTGATTTCTCAAAAGAAACTTTGCAGGCCGGAGAGGAATGGCAAGAGATATTCAAAGTGATGAAAAGCAACGACCTACAACCAAGATTACTCTATCCTGCAAAGCTATCATTTAGAATCGATGGACATGTCAAGAGTTTCCCAGACAAGAAAAAGCTAAAGAAGTTCATCACCACCAAACCAGTATATATGAAATGTTGTAGGGTCTTCTAGAAGGAGAAGAAGAATATGAACAATAAAATGGCAATAAATACATGTCTATCGACAATTGAATCTACAAAAAAAAAAATAAAAAAAATAAGCAAGCAGAACAGAAAGACTCATAGATACAGAGAACTTTTTGTTGCTTGCCAGATGGGCAGGGTCTGGAGGAATGGGTAAAAAAGATGAAGTAATTAAGAAGTACAAATTGATGTACTTCAGTTAGAATGATGAACTTCAAAGGGAAGAGGGGAGAGAGGGTGGGATGAGATAAACCGAAGAACTTCTTTGCATATATGCATAACCAATGGACACCGACAAAAGTGTGGGAAAGGCAGGAGGGAGACGGGACTGGGGAAGAGGGCCTCAGTGAGGAAAAAAGGGGGGAATATCTGTAATACATTGAACAATAAAGATGAGTTTAAAAAATAAAATAAAATAGAACGTTGAGAACCTTTCTATCTGTTGAAAGCACCATCACTAGTCACCAAAATAAATTCTCACACAGGGCACCTTCTTGGTTGACTTTCACTGTAAACTTCAATGGAGTAGAATTAAATCAAAATCAAAAGAACTATTATGGCAAGGGAAGGAGGAAGCGCAACAGGTTGACAGCCCTGTTAAATTCTCTGATCCTCTTTGCTTACCTGGGACGAAGAAGGAATCTAGCAAGGCAGTGGAATGTCATGTAGCAGCCTAGCAACAGCACCTACAGCTATCTTTCATCAAGGAAGTAAATACATGTAAAATTGTACTAGCCCTTGATGGCTAGGGACTGTCTACCTTAAAGTGGCTCTGAACGAGACAAGATATAATCTGGACTATATATAGGTCTGTTCAGTGATTGCTTCAGCAGTTATTGATTCTTTTTATAAAAAACTCAATCCACGTCCATATTTTTGTTGTTGTTAATACTCACCTGAGGCTCTTTTTCCACTGATTTTTAGATAGAGAGGAAAGGAGAGAGTGGAAGAGAGAAAGGGAGGGAGGGAGAGAGAGAGAGAGACATTTATGTGAGAGAGACACATCGATTGTTTGCCTCCCGCGTGACCCTGACCAGGGCCAGGATTGAACCTGCAACCCAGGTACATGCTCTTAACGAGGAATCAAACCCGAGACCCTTCAGTCTGTGGGCCAATACACTAACCGCTGAACCAAACCAGCCAGGGCTTGTCTATATTTATTCTTAAAACTATTATAAAACAAATAAATGTTCAGAAAGGAAGAAATAAAGAAAACATAGATGAATAAAAAGAACAAAATAATTGCCATTACCTAAGAACCACTCTCTAGGTGTAGTTAGAGAAAGGATTTGGTATACATCCTTGCAAACTTTTTAAATGCAAAAAAACAAGTGTGTATGTACACACACATATATAAAGTTACCGACCCATGCCTATGTCTTTATATTTATATACATTATCTATAGCTACATATACAACTATAATTATATTGTTTCTAGAATTTAGATAATTGATTCCAAAAGAGCACAATAGTAGAAGACAAATTTGAGCATTATTTGTATGCATATTTATTTGCACAATTGTAACTCAACATATTATTATTTGCTAAAATACAGAAACAGCCAAGAACTGCTGGGTGTGTGCAACCAGTAGGATCACTGTGGCTACAGTGGCCTCACTGATCAATTCTTTACAGTATACAGCGGAGCACACCTTCACTGTGTCCTGCTAGCTATAGTAAGTTCTTCAATTATTAAAATAGTGTGGGTTTTTAAATGGATAACTATTACAATTATTTTTACAATTCCATTGTTTGAATGCTTTCAATGTTTAAGAATCCCAGATTGTAGTCTCTTTCTGTTTGTACAGTTTTATTTTCACATTACTTTACTTAAAATCATTAACATTAACTTCTGTTCAAGGTACTGGTCTTGTTTTATAATTCCTTGTGCTAACAGAGATAAGAAATGCCTGAAGCAGTTGGCTTCTGTTTCTCATCACCATAGGAGATTGATGGTTGATAATGCCCTTGGCACAAGAGACTTTATGCAACAAAGCTGAGCATAAGAACCAATGAAAAAACAGATGTTTACTTACCAATAAGCCATTAAAAAGGGGACTGCAGTATGCCCAGCTGCTGAAGCCACAGTGACAATATGGCCATGATTATTCTTCATCATCGCTGGAAGAAATGCCTTTGTAGTCTAAAAACAGTTTTTATAAGACAGAAATTTTTTTTTTTAAATTTCTGATTCACAGATGCATTGGGAATATTTTGAAACAAAGATATATTTTGTTAACATTGTTCCTAGCATAAATAAGAAATAGCTAGATTAGCCAAATGTGGCAATGTAGAGCAACTGGATAGGATGCCCAGATTAGAAAAATTTAGGTAAACAATGGATACTGAAAACTTTAAGAATTCATCTCATTTAAATTTTGAACTTATTGCCACTGATCCTCTACCTTTTATCAATGATGTCTTCTATCTTAATGTGAAATTGTTAGACAAGAGTTTGCCATCAAAATATTGAAGTGAACAGCAAACTTCCAGTAGTCACTGAATGATTCATGCGGTAAATATTTATTGAGCACCTACTGTGTGATGGGGATTCAGAAACTAATAAGATAAGAGCCGCATTTCAACAGAGGCAGAAAGATAAGCAAATTCATAAGTCATAAAAATACAAAGACAGAAGTCAGTAATTTGGGAATGTTAACATAACATAATACTGTATTTTCACCAACTAAGTCCAGTATTCTTTTGAGATTACTCACCCCAAATTCATATCCAAGAAAACTTTCAGGGACCCTTTTAGGAACTGGCTGAGCAATATTTAGAGTCCTCAGAAAATCACGTGTGTGTGCGCACGCACGCGTGTGTATTTAAGACACTGAATGGTAAGTTTCCTAATCAAGTTTGTGTCCGGGACTAGGATATAACAGAAGGCCTGGGTCTCATGAGAATCTGAAGCAAACTGTGTTCCCCTTTTATAGTCACAGAAGATGACTCAAATGATCCCTAATCCCTTCTTCATCTTTAAACAGACACAAAAATATAATAATCTAGCTTAGAATTAAAACATACATAACACTTGAAATTTATTATTATTTATTAATCTATCATTAGTATTGATATTTTTGAGGGGGAGAGGAAGAATAATTGATAAGATTTGGCCATAGTGTAAAAAATGACCTTTTTGTAGATTATCCCTGGTACCTGGAGAAAACTTTAGTATTGAGTTGACATGTCAACTGAAAGCTTCACTTGAAACTTAATCTTTGAGTCTTACAAAAGGAAATATTTTTGTAAAAAAATTCATACTTACCCAGAAATGTGCAAGTACATTAACTTCAAAAGTCTTTTCAATTTGAGGGTCTTGTGTAGCAAACAAATCTGATGTATAGACCACACCAGCATTATTTACTAGAATACTGACATCTCCAATTTCTGCCTTCACCTTTAAAAAATAAAACAGGAAAAATATCTGCATCATTAAGAAGTATGAGGGTAGGCTTGCATGCAATGACTATTAAAGAAGTGTGTATTTTTTACTAGCTGTGGGGAAAAAAAGTAGTTTTTTTTCTTTTTTTATCCTCACCGGAGGACATTTTTGCATTCATCTTCAGATAGAATGGGAAGGAGAGAAGGAGGAAGAGAGAGAGAAACATCGATGTGAGAGAGACATCGACTGGCTGCCACCCACACAACCCCAACCGGGGCTGGGGACAAACTACATACAACCAAGGCATGTGCCCTTAGTGGGAACTGAACCCCGGGATTCTCTGGTCCACGGTCGACACTGTAATCGCTGAGCCAAACCAGCCAGGGCGAAAAAAAAGTAGTTTTGAATCTATGTACCAACATGAAAAAAAAACCTTTTAATTTTAGGTACTTAATTTCAAAATAGCTCTGCCTGTAAGTTTGCTAGGTAAAAATTTTCTGCAATTTACTCTCTTGACTTTGCTCTATTGATTATAGCTCAGGAGGCATTTGGCTAACAAAAACATAACCATTGACAAATAAACAACTTTATTTTTCAAATACTACTGTAAAAGGTAAGCAAAATAAAGGTTAACTAATTGGCAAGGGGAGCTATGTAAAACTGATTACACCACTAAACTGGTGACATCTTCTATTTATTTTTATGGTCACTCCATTCTCTTGCTCCCCAACCTTTCTCCATAAAATTGCAGTAGGCTTAGGGGCTTGAATGCAAGAATATCTTCTTCAATATTTTTATGGTTCCCTGAGTAACTAAGCTTCTTGGTGGATGGATCCTAGAGCTACAATCCAAGATGCTATACACTGTGTTCCAAATAAAAGGTAGCCTCTACTAATGGAGTTATCATTATTTAGATAGTGCTGTGGTGTATTGGGGGACTGAGGGGGAGACGGCAACCAATCTAGTAAAAGTTTTCATATCTGTTAAGTGCTATGCATTTTACAGAATTCCATGATCTCATTTAACTCACAACAATTCTATGAGGTAGCAACTCTTAGTAGGCTCATTTTAATGATGAGAAACATGAAACACAGGATGGCTAACTTTCTTGCAATAGGTCACATAGTTATTAAAGGTTAAGTGAAATTGAGACTCTCCCAGATTTTCTGACCTCAGACACCAAGATAAGCCTCAAATCTCAAACAGAAAAGAGTTGGGAGGCCATCACCATTCCGGTGACACACACCACTGTGCCACTGTGAGGGCTCCTCAGGCACAACTGACTTGCATCAGGTTGTATTTAAATTTTAAAGGGTCAAACTAAGTGATTTGGCCCTTAACACCATTTGTACCTATGTCCATCTCTAGAACAATAGGAAAACTGTTATTCCTATTCCTAAAACTGTTATGCCCCTAGTTATGAGAAAAACAAAACATTTTATGTGGTTCAATTGATGAAGCTACTGTAACACCTCCAAATTAACATGCTAAACATGTAAATTATTGTTTCTATTGCCAAAGTATGTGCCCAGAGGCTCTTGACCTTTCCTCCATCCTTGAGCTCCCTCCCCATCATCACCTATGGTCTCCTACCAGGGTGAGAATGTCAATTTACACATTGCTCAATAATGGAAGCCAGCTGAGAGTTTTATTGTTTAGGTGGCATAACATTGTCCTGATACCTAAACACCCACATCAAGAGAGCTACTTCAGCCCTGGCCGGTTTGGCTCAACGGTTAGAGCGTCAGCCTGCGGTCCACAGAGACCCGGGTTCGGTTCCCGCTAAGGGCATGTACCTTGGCTGCAGTTTGTCCACGGCCCTGGTTGGGTCGTGTGGGTGGCGGCCACTCGATGTGTCCCTTTCACATCGATGTTTCTCTCTCTTCCTCTCTCTCCTTCCCGCTCTGAGTGAAAAATGGAAAAATGTCCTCGGGTGAGGATTAAAAAAAAAAAAAAGAGAGAGAGCTACTTCAAAATATCTGATAATCATATGTCATTGTGTATACTCTGTTTAAGCATATAGTTAGTTCATCTTAGCACAATTTCAGTAAAAACACTATGTTTAGAATACATGAAATTGTTTCAAATAATAATAAAGTTATCTTTTCCAGCAAAGTGCGTCTAGAAATGAATGTTTTCCATGTAGGCAACTAACACTACTAAATCCCCTCAATAATGGCTAATAACAAAATTATGTAGATAAGCCCTGGCCGGTTGGGCTCAGCGGTTAGAGCGTTGGCCTGTGGACTAGAGAGTTCTGGGTTCGGTTCCCGATAGGGGCACGTACCAAAAAAAAAAAAAAAAAAGTATGTAGATAATATTGGTGATTCTATTGTTGTTAGCATAGGTAGCTAAATGTTAATAAAGGAAAGGAGCAAAAGGGATCAGACATTATTACGCCTAATAAACCAGGGAGCTGAACTGGGCAACAAGCCTGCTTACTTCACTAGAAAGTTACAGCTTCACACATTCTTCAGCGTATCCTCCAACCCAGGGACAAGTGGGCAGGAAGGATCATTATAGGGTAGGGGTGGCTGCGGGGGGAACAGAAAGGATGACATAAGCAGGAGAAATTCCTCTACTGGACACATGCCCAGTAGAAGTCAAGATGGCACAGGGGGAGGTGCTTCCACTTTGAGGCGAGTGCAGTAGGAACTAAGATGGTGACCATAAGGGGCAGAGCCAGGCCTGGGAAAAGAATCGGATTGGATAAGGGACACAGAACCCTGGAAGATCTAGGAAATAGATTGGCTAGAGGGAGGACCCAGTGCCAGCCCATGACAGATTGGAAAGTTGATTGGTTAGTTTGAAAGGGCACATGGTCCTTCCCAAAACTGGGATAATGTAATCAGCCTAATAAAGGAAGTCTCTCCCTCTCCCCCTCCCCCTCCCTTCCTCCCTCTGTCCCCTCTGTCCCAGATGGGGCAGACATGGACTAAATATAGCCTAAGCTTTGGCATGGCACAGAACTTTTGGAGACTGTTGTTTGTACTGGGCTTAATGAAGAACAAGACCGGAATTTTTCCACAAAGGAGGACAGTTGGAGATGAGACACTGGGAACCTGAGGGCAGCCTTCTATTTCCATCCAAATAAATCTTACCACCAGACCTTATCCTCACATGTGGGTGTCCAGAAATGCTTTTCTCCAGACACTCCAAGGACCCCATTTCCATGGGCAATGCTATAATACCATTAACTAATTCTTACAAAGTCTCTGAGCACCAGGCATTGTTCTAAGAACTTTACATCATTAATTCACTTAATCCCCATAACAATCCTATGAGGTAGGTACTACTGTGATCCCCACTTTATAACTGAGGAAAGTTAGGCAGAGAGGTTGGGTAACCTGCCCTAGATGATAAAGCTAGTATTAACTGGAAAGACTCCTCTCTATGAAGGAAAATCATTGTTGCCCTGGCCAGTTTAGCTCAGCAATTAGAGCGTCAGGCCCGCAGACCAGAGAGACCCGGGTCCGGTTCCCGCTAAGGGCATGTACCTTGGTTACAGATTATCCCCGGCCCCGGTTGGGGCTGTGTGGATGGCAGCCACTCGATGTATTTCTCTCACATTGACGTTTCTCTCTCTCTCTCTCTTCCTCCCTCTCTCCCTCCTGTTCTATCTGAAGATAAATGCAAAACAAAATGTCCTTGGGTGAGGATAAAAAAAAAAAAAAAGAAAATCATTGTTAAGTAAAATGGTTATTGTGAGGAAGGCAGATGTTTCTTACCCAAAAGCCTTGAGCTTACTGTACCCCCTTCCCCAAAGGCCGTCCCCGAACCACTGGCCTGGGTAATGTCTACCTATTCTTTTGAGCGTTGCCTAAGCAACAATAGAGGCATCAGTTTGAAATAAAAGATTATAATTTAAAATAAAATTTTATAAATGTCCACAAATCTAAAATTTCTAAAATTCAAGAGGTTCTCGTCTTGGCTGAATCAGAATCTTTATACTGTACTGAATCAGAATATCCAGGGGTGAGGTCCAGGAAGATGTATTTTGAGGAATTTGCCCATCTAATTCTAGTGACCTTTCTACCATTACCGCATTTAGTTAACAAGTACATTTATGAATGTGTTCAGATCAAATGACATTATATATAGCACATCTCAGTTATGTATAGATGAGGCAAATAATGCTTTATAGAAATAGATATGTCTATGACAATAAACAGGTTTACCCTATCTTCCTAACTGACTTCTTTGACTGGACTTCAGAAGACCCTGGCAGTGACTCTGCAGTGTCATCCAAGGATTTACCTGTATCAAAATCAGATGGGTGAGGCGTGGGTGCACAGGGTACTAAACACACACATTCCTGGGCCCAGCCCTCAACATACTGAACGAAAATCTCTGGGGTGCTTATTTTTTAAACAAGTTGCTTGAAAGATTCCAGAACACACTAAAGTCTGGGAACCTCAGTTCTGGGGTTTAGTTCTGGGTCTGCCACTATATAACCTTGGGCAAATCACAAAACTTCTGTTAGTTTGTGTGAATCATGATAGGGCCATCTCCAAAATCCCTCCCGGGTCTGACACGATGCGATTCTAAACAGATGTAGAAGTTCACCTTCTTCGCCGAACTGTAAATATCTTCTCGGTTACTGCAGTCTACCACGAAGGTATGAACTTTTGCACCCAGTCTCTTGCATTCAGCAGCTGTTTCCTCAATTCCATGCTAGAAAAAGCAATAAAGAGGCAAAAAGAATAAAATAAATGTTGTGAGCATATTATATCAACAGCTGAAAATAATTAAGGGTAATCAGCGTCTTTGAACTGGGAGTGAGCAAGAATTCAACTGGCACATTTTTGACAGGGATATAGGTACACTTTGCTCTCAGTACTTTACAGAGCTTCTTTTAGTTGAAACTGAATTTAAAGCAAGCTTTTAAAAAGAAGATACAATCTTAAAATACTAGTTTTGTATTATAAATTTTACACTGTGAATGTATGCATGTACGTATGTACGTATATCCGTATCAGGCTTCAGAAAAATAACATTAAGCTTTTTTCCTCTGTCACTAAAACTACTTATAGACATCAGTTTTCTGGCTGTAAAATAAATAAGTAAGGAGTTAATGACAATTCATTCACTCATTCCGCCAACATTTTAATGTGTAGGTCATATCCACGGTGCTTAGAACCTTGTGGACACAAGTATGAATGAATGAGTCCTAACCTCAGCGAGCTCACAGTGTAGTAAAAACATAAAATAATAAGTGCTTACAGCTCTTTTTGAATTTGTCTAGTAGGTCTTCCAGTTTTTACCAGAAGGCCCTAAAATAAATAAATAAATAAGAATAATATTTAGGCAGAACCCTATGAAATTGTTATTGTTTTAGAATAAAGAACTGAACATTGGCAGTTTCCTATGGTTCAAACAAATATATTGTGGTAAGTATAATAATAGAGCTACACAGAGAGAGTTATGGGAACAAAGAAAAGGGGCATGCAGTACAATTCTAGAAGAGGTACCTGAGTTGGGTCTTAAGAGTGAGTAGAACAGCTATGCAAAGAGGGGGCAGGGCACACTAGGCAGAATGGAAGTAAAGGGACAGATAGGAGAAAGGATCTCTGGGGAAGCACCAGCAGATTGGTGATGCTGGGTCATAAAGTTCAAGGCCAGCAGGAGTCCAAATTAAAGGGCATTATGTGTCATATTAAGTGTGCATTATTTGGCATATACCATGTGCCACACATTGTGCTAAATGCCTTGTGTGCATTATCTGATATAATCCTCCAGTCCTCTAAGGTTAAGTACTGTTATTTCATCCATTTTACAGAAAAGGAACTGAAAGCTCTGGGGAGTTACCCATGATTTGGGGTAAGTTATCCATGAAGAAATGGAGAGCTCAGATGAGTCTGACCACACCATCACACCAGACACCTTGACAGCACCAGACTAAGCTGCGCCTAGTTTGTATCTATCATTGCACATATAATTATTTAATGTCTATTTTCCTTACTAGAGTGAGGGTATGGGACTCAACCTCCTGTTTGCCACTGGGTTCTTAATATCTAGGCAACAGATACTCAGGAAGTGTTTGTTGATTGCCCTCTCAATCACTCACTCACTAGATTGGTGCTCATCTAACTTCACGTTCCATGAATTCTTGTTTACATCACTGGATGTTAACTAATGTGTAAGGTATGGCATTTCAGGCCAGCTGGTGCTTCCAGAAACCTCTTTGTACATCAACCACTGGCCAAATAGAAGGCAAGTTTCCAGTCTTCCTCTCTTCCTTAGCCTACACCTATCCTGGTAAAAAATTACATAAAAAGTTCTGTTATTTTGTATTGTTTTTAACTAAAATGTGGTTTTAAAAAATTACTCTTGGCCCTGGCTGGTATGCTCAGTGGTTAGAGCATCCGCCTGTGCACCAAACAGCCATGGGTTCAATTCCCAGTCAAGGTACCTCGGTTGCAGCCACAGGTTCAATTCCCAGTCAAGGTACCTCGGTTGCAGGTTCCATCCCCAGCCCTGGTTGGGGCATGTGCAGGAGGCAGCCAAACTATATGTATCTCTCCCATCAATGTTTCTCTCTCTCTCTCCACCCCTCCCTCTCTCCTTCTACTCTCTCTAAAAATCAATGGAAAAAATACCCTTGGGTGAGGATTAACAAAAAAATTTACTCTTGGAAATGACTATGGCATAGTAATGTTGCTTTCTGTTGGGTGTCTTAAACCCATTTAGCTCAGTAACTGCAAGTAGGATTTTTTTTTCTTACTCTTATTCTTTTTTAAAACCTCATACTCTTTTAATATACTAGCTAAAACTATTACTTTTTCCATATGGTTAAGACGGAGGGATCCGTGAAATCAATTCAGGAAGAAATTACAAATTATTTTCAGGGCACAAGTGAGGATTCAATTTACAGTGTCAAATGGGCAGCAACTGAGAATCTTATTGTCTAGGTCCATTCATCACATGATCATAAACACATTGCTTAATCCATGTTTTTCCCCCATCTATAATTTGGCAATAGCTGCAAAATGCATACACGTCCACAGATGAAAGGTACCAGAAAGTACAACAGTAAAGCACTATTATTACCTTATTTATGTCCCAAAGAACCAGTTTGCTTTTAAGTTTGGCAAATTCATAGGCAGTCAGTCTCCCGATTCCATGTCCAGCTCCAGTGATCAGAACGATTTCTCCGGTGACTGATTTTCTCTTCTTAGGAATAAAAAGCTTCAGCAGAGATTCTAACATGAAGACGATCAGCAAGGGCAGCAGCAGGAGGCAGTTCAGAACGAATTTTAACATTTTTGAGGCTGCGAGGATTTGGTACGCTTACCAATCGCTCTAAATTGCCTTCAAGCGTTCCGTCTAACCCCAGAGAGAATAAAAGCAGCAGCAAGGAAGAGCTTCTTTATGAGAGAGAAACAAACAACTCTGAAACCGTTCCTTCCGCTGGGCCGGGCTTGGCGAGGTCCTCCGCAATTGGCTCCGGCTGCAGAGCGGGCGACGGCTCGCTGGCTCGGAGATCTGGGAGGGACAAAGTAGGGAGGAGAGCAAAAGTCAGTGATCTTTCACCCACTCTTTCTCGAGACCTCTGGGAGGGGGTGGGGAGTGGGGGTTAGTTGCCGCTTGTTTTCCCGCATTTGATACATTCATCTTAAAGTTACAAGGATAATTGATGGTGTCCGCAGTCCAGATGCTTCTTTGAAACTTGATGGTTGCCCATCACTAGTTAAGTGATGCAAATATAGTTGCCTGTCTTAAATGAATCCGGGGAGATGGCCAGTTGTTCTACCCCCGGCTGGGAAATGATGCTACATCACTTTTTACTTTGAGCTAAGCACGATTTTTTTGGAGGACCCAGGACAAATTATCGTTTCTGGGACAACGATAATCAACACCCTGATCATATTACAGGGGATTGTTTGCACAAGGAAGAGCTGCATATTTGGATAACCTTTTGCACTCAACCTATCAGAATTTGTGAAAACACACACACACACACACACACACACACACACATTACCCTTTAGTAATTGTATATTTATACAGGTTAATAAATTACTGCCTATAGAATGGTTAATAAATTAGAAAGAACTTTTTTGTCTAAAGAGTGTAATCTTTGGTTTAGTAGCCTATATATGTGAGTATTCAATATGTAACTGGTGTCTTAAAAAAATCCCAGCAATTGGTTATTGAAATAAAAGATCAAACTCTGGGCTTGTGTGCAGTTAAGAGCTTAGTGTTTGTTGCATGTATTTTTTTTTTTTTTCAATACGGTTCTTGACAGTAATTGAATTATAATTTTTTGCAAGACATTACAGTGCCTGGGAAGAGATTTTGTCAGGTGGTTATTACCCTTTTATATTTAAGAGGCAGAAAAATCACAAGAAATGGAAGTTCACAAGTAATTCATACTCCTATCTCTTATAAGCATCTCAACACTGTTATATGGGATGAAGGGATAGTAACAGTCTTGCAAAAGTAGCATTCCACCATGGAGTTCTTGAAGTCTGAATCTCATCTGCAACTCGTTCTTAAAGTTGACTATGAAAGTTCCCCCAGCAAGTAAAAATTTGGAGCTGGACACAGGGTCAGTGTTTGTCAAACTTGTAGAAAGAATCATATTTTCCATGGTGACCTAGTATATGTATATGTGTTTGCTTTTGTATATGTCAACTTTAATATATATTGACACTCTGACTCTATTTTTTTTCTATTAAAATTTTTTATTAAGTACAAACTGGGTAGTTTTGACTCACCAAGTTGACCAAGGAAAGAACTCAGTGTTTGGAAACATTCATACTTGAATGCCATATGTGTATGTGATCTCACCTCCCTGACCATGTGTTCTAATTTGTAAAACTGGGATGATACTAATACCCTACAGGATTCTTGTGAAATTCCAATAAGTTAACATAAAGCACAGTACTTTATCTACTATTCAACTCTATATGAATTAAAACTGACACTAATATAATTACAAAGTGAATGGGTGTTTTGTTTGTTTCTTAAATCCTCACTCAAGGACATGCTTAGAGAAAGGAAAGAACAGAGAGAGAGAGAGAGAGAGAGAGAGAGAGAGATTTAGAGAGAGAAGAAAGGAACATTGATATGAAATGTGCCCTGACCAGGAATCAAACAGGCAGCCTGTCTGGTATGACTCAGTGGATTGAGCATCTCCCCATGGACTGAGAGGTCCTGGTTCAATTCTCAGTCAGGGCACATGCCTAGGTTTTTGGGGGACATGCAGGAGGCAGGTGATCGATGTTTCTACCTCTATCTCCCTTCCTCTTTCTAAAGAAATCAATAAAACATATTTTGAAAAAAAACAGGCAACCTTTTGGTGCACGGGATGACGCTCAACCAACTGAGACACTCTGACCAGGTATGAATGGTTTTGTGAGTGATGATTAGCTGCTAATCTGATACAATGGTAAAGTATATGATTTTATTAAAAGGGTGGGCAAAAAGTATGTTACAGTTGTTTGTATGGAAAGACAGGAAGATTATGAGTATTAAATAGCTTTATTAACTCAAAAGAGTAAACTGTGTTTCGTGTACTCTCGACTATAAACCTACTTTTGCCTACCCCTGTATATTTGTGGTTTTTAAAAAAATGCCTTTCATTAGGAAAGTTTAATATGTTTTATATGTGGAACATCTTAATTTCATACTGCCTTTCCACTTGTTGAAGTGGCATTAAAAAGAAAAAAGATCCCTAGCCAGTTTGGCTCAGTGGTTGAGCGTCGGCCTGTGGACAAGAGAGTCCCTGGTTCGGTTCCTGCTAGGGGCACGTACCACAAAAAAAAAAAAGAAAGAAAGAAAGAAAAAAGAATAAAGAGTTCCTCAACAATGTTTTGAGCACTTACTATGTCTAGCCAGGCATTATGCTGAATGCTGTACATAACCTAAACAGTTCATTTTATCCTCTCAATAACCTTAAGCAGTAGGCTCAACTGAGATCTCTATTACATGAATGAAGAAATAAAGGATTAAGGAAAGTAATCCTTCAGGTGGCCTCTGAAAATGGTTCGCTATTCACTTGACCCAGAAAACTCCACAAAATCATGCAAGTCAAGAGTTTCAAATCTTCGTGTTCACTTTAAAAACACTCGGGAAACTGCCCAGGCCATCAAAGGTATGGCATGCAACTAGAAATCAATTGCAACAAGAATATGCAAAAACATTTGAAAACCTGGAGGCTAAATAATATGTTATTGAACAATGAATGAGTTAGCATGGAGATCAAGGAAGAAATTTAAAACTTCCTGGAAAACAATGAAAATGAACATACAACAACACAAAATCTATGGGATGCAGCAAAAGCAGTTCTGAGAGGGAAGTTCATAGCACTACAGGCCTACCTCAAAAAGCAAGAAAAATGTCTAATAGACTATCTAACCTCACAACTTAAAGAACTAGAGAGCAAACAGAAAGAAAACCCCAGAGTAAGTAGAAGGAAGGAAATAGTAAAGATCAGAGTAGAAATAAATGACATAGAGACCAAAAAAAAAAAAAACAATTCAAAGGATCAATGAAACAAAGAGCTGGTTTTTCAAAAGATAAACAAGATTGATGGACCCTTAGCTAGACTCACCAAGAAACAAAGAGAGAGAACCCAAATACACAAAATCAGAAATGAAAGAGGAGAAATAATAACTGACACCACAGAAATACAAAGGATTGCTAACAGATATTATGAACAATTATACGGCAACAAGTTCGACAATCTAAGCGAAATGGACAAATTTCTAGAAACACATAGTCTCCCAAAACTGAACCAGGAAGAAATAGAAAACTTGAACAGACCAGTAACAACCAAAGAAATTGAAGATGTAATCAAGATTATCCTAAGCAAAACAAGCCAAACAGAGAAAGACAAGTATCATATGATCTCACTTACTTGTGGAATATAATTAACATAACAGTCTGAGGAATGGGGTAGTCCCAGAGACGTGAAAGGGGGGTACAGACTGACAATCCCCAAAAGAGGGGGTAGTGGGGGGAGAGATAAACCACAAAACTTATATGCATGTATGCATGAACAATGGACATGGACAACAAAGCTGAGGACAGGGCGGGGAGGGAGGGGGAGGGGGGAATCAGTGGAGGGAAAAAGAGAAACATCTGTAACAAAAGTAAATTAATTAATAAAAAAAAAAAGAAAGAAAGAAAAGTAGGCAAATCATCTGAGGTGATAGTATAAATGGTAGAGTTGAATTTAAGCCTAGACCAATAGGACTGTGCTAGATCGCCTTCTTTCTCAGGTAAAAAAGAAAAGCGAATCCAGTTCTAAATCACTGTGAAAATCCAAAAGGATCCTAACTCCCACTATTTGCAACTCCAACAGGTAACTTAACTGACTAATTAGCAGGCAAGAGTGCAGCTGTTTAAAACAATAAATTTTAATCCTGCCAAGGTTTTTATTAGCTATGGGATATCAGGTTAATTACTTACCATCACCTGAGGTCTTAGTTACTTTATCTGTAAAATGGATATATTAGCAGCTTGGCTGAGTGAATGAGATATTTAAACAGCACAGAGCATGACATCTCATAAACAAGTGTACATGATGAATGATAGCTATGACCATAGCTGAACGTATCATCTGTAAGGTTCTGGCTCTATGGAATCCTAGTGGATTCAGGGCAAAAGGCCACCCTACTCAGCAGTTACAAAAGCTTTTCTTCTCCCTGTTACTCTACAAAACACTGAGGAAGAACATCCAGAATTGATTGCCAGCTTGTGTTAAAGGAGCTACTTCAAAGATTTCCTATCATTCTGGGGTAGAAGCCTTCCACTTGGCCCTGTATTCTGGATTTGAGAGCTGGAGGGAGTTAGATGTTAGCTCGTCCAGCCACACCTGTTTTTGTTGGTTTTTTAAGTAATGGATCTATGAATTCAATGTAATGAGTATATCTGGTTTTAAAATGATTCAGCTGGGTAGATATTAAAAATGCACAGTCTTTAGTCTGACTTTGTCTAACTCCTCAGATCAACTACTTTTAATCCATGTAGCTGTCTATTGCAGAGGTGACTTTAAAGTCTCTAATGAAGGCTCACAGTGCCATTTCCTGATTAGTCAATAGTAGACGCTATCAGTTTTCTCTTGTAACAGCTGAGGATATAGCTCACTCCTCCCCTAACTCCATCCTCCCTATATAAATATTCCCAATATATATGTCATTATCTTTACTACTTTTATGTGGTTATATTGAAAACGTCTACACTTTTTATGTCTTATTCCAGCAACTAGCTTCTGAAATTTTTGGCTCCTGATTTTATAAGAGGAGGGTATGCCCTATTCTTTTCTCAGCTGTCCATTTCCACCTTCCAGCTAAAATTTCATTTATTGTACTACCCATGAATCTATTGACTCTATTAGCCAAACTTTATTCATCCAGATGTTTCTAT